ACGACCGGGGAGCCCCAGGCCCCAGACCCCATCTCCCTGCGCTCTTCTCCGCGCCTCGATCTGCGAGGCCCCCCGAGCCGAGCGACAACGCCCTGGCGAAACACTGGAAGCGCCATCTGAGGGGAAGTGCAGGTCGCCCAGATGAGGTCTGGGCATAGATGGGGTCCGAAGATCGCGCCGCATCGCCGATGCATCGGCGATGCACCGGCGATGCATCGTCGACGTCGGCGATGCATTGGCGACGTCGACGCGAAGCAGATCGGGCCCTACATCGGGCCGCATCGGCGATGCATCGGCGATGCGGCGCGATCCTCCGACCCCAGCTCGTCGGACCCCATCTGGGAGGCCTCGAAGAAAAAAGGCCCCTCGCCAGCCTGGCCCGCGGTCTCCTCGAGCTCGCCCCTGGCGACCGGCCGCGAGCCGGCCCACATCGCCTCGCCCGGGGGGCGCGCAGGACTGCCTGCGAGAACCGTGCAGGCCCTCTACCGCTCAGGACCGCATGAGCCTCGACTCCACTGGAGCGACGATCAAAAGCGGGTCTTATGCGAGATGACATCCCAGACCCCCTCGGACCACGAGCAAAAATCATGACGGGAGCTGTTTCCATACATACTTTCGGCCTCTCGGGGCCCTAACTGGGCCTCGGAACCGTCAAAAAGACGGTCCTGGGGAATGGGTCTCGGCCTCTGGGGGTCGACGTTCTGAGGAACAACAAAAAACGTATCGTCGGCGGTCTAGGATTTGAGCAGGGACCGACAGTCCCAGCATTCCTATAGGCCTATACCACGACATGTTCTTAGAACCCAGAAATGCTCGAATAACAAAACAATGTTGTTAGAACAGAATCCCGATGTGTAAAAACAAAGCAATATCGGCCAGAAATGTTCTAAGAACATTACGTGGAAGCCACAAAGGTTCTTAGAACATTCTTTGGTGGGACCATGGCGAGCCAGGACGCTTCGCCACTGCTTCGAGGATAGCGACCTTGCGCGGTGGCTTACGCAGGCCGCCAGCGCGGCACGCTACGCTGGAAGCGAGGGCACTTCTGCGCGACCCCACGCGAGCAGCTGACGCACCAATGGCGGCGAAGACGATCCCCGTCTTGTGGCGTCGCGCACTTCCTGCTGGAGGCACGGGCCCTGACGATGCGTGGGCCTTGGGAGGTCTGCACCACCTCCCCGGGGGCCGGCTTTTCGTCCTGGCTCGTTGTTTGGCGGCCTCGAGGCCCGGCGAGGGCCCCTGGAGGCCGAGAAGGGCCCAGAGCCCGCCGCCCAAATGGCGCTGGAGCGCGTCGGATCTCTGGGGGGGGGGAGGCAGGCGAGCACCGGGTCGAATCGATAGGTCGGATCGGCGATCGGCAGGGATCGGATCGGCGGACATCGGCAGCCAAGCTGGGAAAAGTCGAATCGGCAGAAATCGGCAGGCTCGTATGCCTCGGCTGACAAGCCGAGGCCCCAACGGGAATCCGAAGTCGAAGCGAATCGGAATCGGAGGCCATCGACATCGAATCGAATCACATCGGGGGAATCGAACCGAGCCCTGGGGGAAGGCATGAGGAGGAATCGCCTCGCCGACGTGCGCGACGACCCAGTCCACGTCTCTCTCAGGGGGGAGGAGGAGGAGGAGGAGGAGGAGGAGGAGGAGGAGGAGGAGGAGGGGAGGAGGAGGGAGGAGGAGAGGAGGAGGAGGAGGAGGAGGAAGCAGGAAGGAGGAAGGATGAATGAGGAAGGAGAAGGAGGAGGAGGAGGAGGAGGAGGAGGAGGAGGAGGAGGAGGAGGAGGAGGAGGAGGAGGAGGCGTAGGAGGCGGACGAGGAGGAGGAGGAGGAGGAGGAGGAGAGGAGGAGGAGGAGGAGGAGGAGGAGGAGGAGGAGGAGGAGGAGGAGGAATCGCCTCGCCGACGTGCGCGACGACCCAGTCCACGTCTCTCTCGGGGCGCCTCCGCGCCACGCCTGTGGGGGAGTAGCGGTGGCCACGTGCACTCTTTCGGGGCGCCCCTCTGGAAGCATTCTGGCAGCCCAGGGGGACGGAGGGGCTCGGGCGACAGAGGAGGGGAGAGAAGGGGAGATGGATCAGAGCGAAGGAGATGTCGTCCTGCTCCTGCTCCTCCTCTTCCTCCTCCTTCTCCTCCTTCTCCTCCTCCTCTTTTGACGTTGGGCGGACTTAAATCTTAGGATTGTAGCCTCTGTGAACAATTCGCGTGCTGATACCGACTTAGGCCCAGAGGCCAGCAGATCACGCTTCCTCCTCCTGCTCCGTTCTCCGTCCTCCTTCCTCCCTTCCGCCTCCTCCTCCTCTTCCTCTCCTCCTCCTACCTCCTCCTCCTCCTCCTCCTCCTCCTCCTCCTCCTCCTTCCTCCTTCCTC